CCTATTTAATCTAATTAGGAGAAAATTATTTGTTTTCTTTTGTTTTTACTCTAAATCATAATATTTATATGCATCGCGCGATAAAACTTCTTAACACAAGCTGTTCTGTTTCGGCATCGAAAACAAAATAAAACGTTTCCTTTTATTTCGAAATAAAATAAAATTATATCTATATCAATTCAACAATCATACAGCTTGTTTCACTTTTGATTAAGCATAATTCAATTTCAAATATATGATTATTTATTGATTATCAGAACATAAGAGAAGTTCTCGACATATTCTACAAATCTATTTTATTGATTATAAATATTGTTTTATTAAAAAATATTCACATTTTAATATAATTTGTAAACAATTTTTTTTATATATTTTTCTTACTTCTGACGTCACAATTCAAGATTGCCGATAAACAAAGAAAAATCTGAATTTATTATCACTGTTTTTTATTAAATAAAAAATGTACTTATATATATCTTACATCTTGTGCAATAACAAACTAATAATTTAAATAAGATAAAATTGAGCTCTCGAGATAACAAATAAGTATAATTATAAAATAAATTATATATATAATCCACGCGTAATCCTCTCACTTACGTATGAAATGATAAATATTATCAAATATTCAGAATATTTAACAAGTCAGATAATAAGGAAGAAAAATATATATTATGCACATTATATATTTTATAAAATATATTTTAGTTTTCTTGATCAAATATATCTGACATTATACATGCTTTGAAATATTCATTATCTGTATATAATTATAAGACAGCTAACACGGTATTTTTTTACGAGAGGATAACAAAGCTATTAGGGAGTTTTTACAATATCATTTATCCAAATACGGTGAACGCTAAGATTATCTCCTTTTCTTCGGATTATCTTCTTCTAACAACTAATTAAGAAAAGGATAACATGACTTTAGTGTTCATCGTATCTGGATCCGACGTTTTTGCAAAACTTCCTATTCTCTTTGAAAAATAAACATTGTCTTTACAGCGCTCTAAGAATTATAGCAATACAAATCATAACAGCAAGCCAAGTAGCTATCATACTATGTCACAAACAAACAAATAAAACGAAATTGGATCTGTTGAGCAATCTGTTTTGTGCGATATGTGGCGTATTTTTATTTGACATTTATACACTCAATACTTGCAGTCAAATATTCCGTATTTTACTATTTCAATATTCAATAAAGATATTAAGAGAAATAATACTATTTTCAGTTATAAAGCAGATCTTGGTGCTTAATAATATTCATATATAAGTTTATTGCAAATATATTGTATTTTTTTCCAGTTTTATACATATAAACTGCGCGCTGATTCGGTTTGTGTGACTGCATTTCAAGTCCGATGAATCGAATCAACGCGCTGTCTATAAAACCGGAAAAAATATATTTGCAATGCATTTATACATGAATATTATTAAGCATCAAGAGAGAGATCCGTTTTCACTAAAAATAGGATTATCTCTCGTAATTGGCTCATTCTCATCGGTCTAATTCCTAATCATAATTATATATCATATTTCAATATTAATTGGTTAAACATTAAGTAACTTTATATACTATAATCAAATTTGTGTGTGTGTGTGTGTGTGTGTGTGTGTGTGTGTGTGTGTGTG